CAGCCAGCCATGTTGAAGTCCACTCATCTTAAAGTGGCCAAGTTTGGACAACACTGCTCTAGGGCGACGAAGAGAAGAGCAAGATAGCGTCAAGTTCAGGATGACTCATCCTTCAGGATTGATTATATATACGGGAATCAGATAGAACTTGGTAACAACAATGACAGATCCTTGAAGAAATCAAAGATCATAACTAAAATTGCACACATTTGGGGACAAATTATACTAAGTAGTAGAAAATATGTTGTCAAAAATAGGGAAAGTTCCTGCTAATTAGTACAGTCTGTTCTGAGACAGAAAGGCAAATATATGATAACTTCTTTTAGGATATGAAATCCCTATATATTCATTTAATGAGTAAGGGTAACCTGATATCTATAGTGCTAAATGTGAAAACAAACGTAGCTGGCATGTCAGAAATTTAATGGAACAAAAGAATCAATGAGATATGACATTTCTCAGATATTAAATCTATAGGAAGGACAAAGAAGAATGTGCTGGGTGCACTGTTGCTATTTATGTCAGAGATGCCTACACTACAATCATCTAAAGAGTTGAATGGAAAGAATTCCAGCAAAGGCTAAACAAATCAAAAGCAATTGCCCCCAACTAAAATAGAGAGCATTGTTGAAATGGTGAAAAAAATCAGTGAGCAAGGGGAATACATTTTTAAAATCATTTCAATAAATAAATATTATTTAAGACAAAACCTTTGAACAAGTATAACTCGAACCATTGATTAAAAAAAAAAACCTGATAGATAATCAGAGCTTCTGACCCAACCTACCATCTGTGGGATTTCCAGAAGAATCTAGGTTGCCAGTTTTGGGAAACAGAACACTGGACCGCATCCGGCAAGTTCTTTTCCCCTTTGCAAGACTGTGATGTCCAATTTGCAGGTGATACATAAGTATGTGCAGAAAATACAAATGATTTGCTTACCACCGGCAAACTCTGAACAAACACAGAATGTAATCTCAGTTACAGCACCAGACTGTTCAAAGGTTCGTACCTGTGGCTTAATCTTCACAGAGCCAATTCAATATAAGATATATTTGTAGGATGCTGAATTAACTTATTTCTGCAGTTCTAAACCAGGAAACTCGTAGCTAGCTATGAACTACCATGGTCTGCATGTATTGAGGCCTCAAAGTCCACACCAGCACAATAGCACTGTAACATGCACAATAGTGCATGTAGAATGTAATACACAGCCCTTAGATAGTCAGGAATAATATAATTAGTAGAAATTTGCCCTTCTACTGTTGTCTTGTCAGACAGGCATTATTTTCTGTACAGCTCAAACACTAAACTCAAGAATGTGTAATGTGTCTGTTTCATATACACGTATAATAACGGTTCAAAAATATCACATTAGAGGATTTGCATTCTAATTCTAAACAAGTAAACTATCCTGCTCTTCATCATGTCACAGAGAACTTCATTAAATACCTTGCTGAAATCTTCACTGATATATTACATTTACAGCATACCCCCTACTGACTAAGGAAGTTACCCCATCAGAAAGGTAAAATAAGGTTCATCTGCAAAGACTTGCTCATGAAAAGTCCAGAATGATCTGGAAATTATGCCACTGTTCTTACATTACGTAAGGCCAGCTTATAGACTGATCTGCTTAGAATCTGTTGTAGAGTCTCCCCAGATTTTCACACTAGACTCATCTGTGATTCCCTCCTTTTCCCCCTTTAAATCTATGATGTGATTACACTTTGAAAACAGCCTACAGTTCTATTCACAGCTTCTCAGAGGTAGATATATTTTCTGTACAAGTATGGCTAAGATGGGACTGACTTGTTTAAAGTATGTGAGAAATGGACAACATGATAAAAGGGTATAAAATTACATGCAGCGCAGAGATTTGTATTTGTCTCCCTCAGTCATAAATAGTAGGATGTGTGGTTATCTAGTGTATCTGGAAGTACTTTTTCATAGAGAATACCTAAATTCTGGAATTCATATTATACTATGACTTTAAAGAGGGATTATAAAATTCATGGGGAAGAACACTATCAATGCTATTACAGTGGTACCTCGGGATACGAACTTAATCCGTTCCGTGACTCTGGGCGTATCCCGAATTGGTCGTAACCGGACGCAAATT